AAAATCTGTCATCACAGAAATATTTCATTTGCGATTGTATGTCAATCTAGCAATTTTTTTTTTTGTATGACAAATCTGCTATCACTCGACAGTTTTTTTGTTTAAAAAATAAAAACTGTCATAACATTAAAAAAATCTGTTATCACTACTAAGTCATTCTAGTAATTATTTTCCCAAAAACAAATCTGTCACTTGATGACAGATATTTTTATGAAAATTAAAAGTCTGAGGCCACTAGGAACATAAATCTGCCACTAATTTTAATAAATCTGTCAAAGTGATGAAAGTCTGTGGTGTCATCAAAAAATAAGTCTGTAGTGGGGTAAAAAACTACAACAAGATAAATATCTGTCACAACCTGTTAAATTAAGTCTGTCAAAGATAAAAAATCTGTCACATAAAATCTGTCGTTGATAAATAAGTCTGCCATTTAAAATAAATCTGTCATAACGAATGCAGTAGACTTTTAAAAAACCAAAAAAAAATCCTATATTTTTTTGCCACGTTTTTCGAAAAATTTTAAGGGCAAAATTGACTTTTTTTTTTTTCCTAACAAAGAGAGCAAGGGTATTATCGTCATGAAAATAACCAGTCTAACCCCCATATTTTATGAGACATTCTAGTAATTAAAGTCATTATTTGGGTCAATCTAGTAACTTTCCCTTTAAATTATCATACTCAGAATTGATTTGACCTTCTAAAATAAATTCGTGTAATCTCTCGAGTTAAGTGCTTAAAAAAAGTGCTAAACAAAAAATAAGTTTTTGTTTTGTTAGTTTGACAAACTAATGTTTCAACATTGATAAATATTATCGTGATGTAAAGAAGAGTACCCCTTCGGAAATTGATTCTAATTATAGCCATGCCAACCAATTTTTATAGTTTAATTGATACTTTATCGTCACGATTGGTTTTTAAATAGCATTTATGTGGCACATTATTATTATTATAGTATCTTCTATGGAGTTTTATGTTGCAGACAAGCTACTACAGATCGACCCACTCATCCCTTTGAAATATATACGTTTTATATCTTCTAGTTGTTTTTTTGTGGGTATTAGTATTTCAGTCCTGGTTAAAACTGTGTGCATTATATATATATGAAGAAATGTTAAAATTGTGAAAATCTAACTCATATATATATATATATATGTAGAAATGTTAAAGACGTCCACATAAAAGAAAAATTATGAAATATATCATGATATTATTGGTTGAGTGTACTTACAAATAGAGTCGACTAGACTTTGTAACAAGCAAGTAAGATCCATTAAATCAAGAAATATAAATAGTATTAAAATCATCCATGAGATTTTTTTATTTCGTATATTTTTTATGTGGACAGCAAACAATAAAGAGACTTGTCATATGACGCATATTAAAACCTCATGGAATACTTTTCTTTTACAAGAAAAAAAAAAAAAAAACTTTTCTACACAATTATAAGCATCGGATGCTTGAAAACGCCAGAAATTAATAGATATATATAAAAAAAAAAGCTTCATTACGTATTCATATCATTATATCTAAACTAACCCATTTGATCCATAACTTAATATGAGAAACCACTTTTCAAATTTATACAGAGATAAAACACTCAAAATACATTAAACTTACTAGCATATGCTTCATATATTATGCGCATGTCATATTTTCTGTTGAGCTTAATTCTTCTTTTGTGAGCATAACATTCAAACCAAATAAACAAAACTAAACCAAACCAAATTATGTCTAATAAAATCAAAGAAAAAGCACATATATATAGGCTCCCTTGCCATCTGTTAATGCTTCAAAGATCGCTGTTAAACAATTTAACTAGATAGGTTTCAGGCTTTGTAAACGTTATACACATATGTTCTAGAAACTAGACAAAGTTTCCAATCATAAAGGACGGATCGAGGAAGTCTCATCCGATCCAGTTTCAGTTCTCGGTCTTTTAAGAACAAAAAAAAAGAAAGTCAATTTCGATAAGCTAAAACTGGGATGTTTCAATCGATCTTTATTACAGAACCCTATTCTCCAACCATAAATGGACCAATAATTTTGACCAATGATTTTCATTTTTCTGTTTAGGTTTTGGATCTGAGAAATATCTATTTTGTCTTTGTGCCAAATTATATATTAGTGGCTGTCGGTACATCAAGAAAAGACCACTCTTTCGGGGCCACAGTACGATCTATCTTTTTCTCTTGTAAATTCTTCATCAAAACAAAACTCTAAACTAAAGATTTCAGCCGTAAAAAATAGTTATTGCAGTGAAGACGAAAAACTAAAAACTGTGGATGATTGACTTACATTAACTCTTTGAATTTTCTATCTGTTATAGACTTATAGTACTATTACTTCAAATTTATTTTAAAGATTTCCATTATAAAATTACAAATTTATTCTATCTAAAAGCATAAGGTAGTATATATGGGTAGAATTCGTATAATGTATATCAGTAAGAAGCTTTATAGAACTTATAAAATGGTGTCATATCCCTAATAACTGGCTGTTAAATTTATTGGACATTTATACTACAACTAATAAGTTTGGTGAAGCAAATTTAAAATTAACAATTTGGTGAAATAGTTTGTTAGACATATACATAAGTCTTTTTTTTTTAAACATCAGTTTTTATGTAAAACAATGTTGTGAAACTTTTACAATTGTCAGTATACAAGATTTTCTAGTTAATTAATATTAAAAACATCATTTATTATTTAACTAAAACTAAATCAACCAATAAACACCAATACTACAGAATATAAAATTTTATAATCCATTAAAATAAATTAAATTATGCAGAAACCTTGAAAAATTAAAGAAAATGGGACAAAATAAAACTTCTAAAACATCTTACATAATGTTTTAGAAAGAATTTTTATTTAAAAAATGTTGCAAATTTTTTAATATTGTTATTATGTATTACTCCCTCTATTCCATTATACAAGATTTTCTAGTTAATTATTTTGTAAGATTACATAAATTCTTGGTTTTGAAATATTTTTTAACAATTAAAATGATCAATATTTAACTAAAACGAAATTAACCAGTACAAAATAATGCAGAACATAAATAGTTCTAAAACATCAAAATAAATTATATTATGCATAAAAACTTCAAAAAATCCAATGAAATGGAACAAAACAAAAATTCTAAAACATCTTACCTAATTGAACAAATGGAGTATTATCTTATAAAACTTTTTTTTTTCAATTTAGTATTAAGTTTTAACATACAAATAAATTAAGAAAGTGCTAAGACAAAATCCCAAAAGGAAGATAATCTCAACTAGATGAACAAAAAAAAGCCAAAAAAATCATTTGCAGGTTTATATATTTGCAAGATCAATTCAATACAGTTCTAAATCTTCTGGAAGACTTCACACTTTACCCTAGTTTTGAGAACATATAAGTATATAACATAGCCCATACCCTAACTCTGAATATAGCTAGGAGATAGACATCCACCATCGATTTCTAGCCCATATTAATATATTTCTACATCTCTGTCATAAACAAAGCACTCGTCTATAAGAGTCGTCTACTTGCAATAAAATATTGATTCACCCTAGCCTTTAGGGATGTACTGTATGTTGAAAATTCTTCATCACTGCAAATATTGAATTTCATAATCCTCAAACCATGTAGAGCTCTCTACTACCACATAATCAACTATATCATGTGATACTCTCGCGAATGCTTGAAAATATCTTTTATGTTGAGTTTTTTATATTAACCACCAAAATATCCATAATATCGGTTGATTTAGTATAATGTTGAGATATTTGTTTCCAAATAAATAATCCATATTTGTTTTTTTGTTTTTTGGACTAAAAATAATCCATATTAATATAAACTGAATTTAAAGAAAAACCATGATACGGATGGTATAAAAAATAACGCCCGTATATAACTATCTTTAAAATAACGTGATTAAGTGTTTCATTCAAAAATTACTCTTTAATCGATGACTTACCACTAATCTTCCGAAGATAATTTGCCAACTAAAGTATTTTAATTTTGATGGTGCTATTATCTTCCAAGCATGAGGTTTAAGGGAGCTTAAATTAGCCCAAGATGAAGATGTTTCATCTCCATGAAAAATGTTTTAAGCAACCTAATAGTTTTAATTTAACCTTGTATCTTCTAGATTTTGTAAAATTAATGTCGGTACATAGCATCCTACACAAAATCTTTGCCTAAATACCTCTAACCAAAAGTATATCCTCTTATTCCACAAATTCTTGCAAATCTAGTAATGAGATCGAATTATGCTCTATCTATTTACAGTATTTTTATTTTTTGTTAATGAAAATACTGCATTATATTATCGTTATGACTTATGAGAATTTATCGGTATCTATTTTCAATATATTCGTTAATTCACGTGTCGGGAAATGTTATCATTTTCGAGTCAACTCTTTGAGACTCTAGTTACTTAAAACATTGCCTCGAAGGACAATAAGCGGGTCCTGTAATCGAGTCTGTCAAAGCTTACGTGGCAGTTATTTGCCACATTTCACGATATTGCTGATCTCATCTATTTTGTCATTTTCTCGCCGCCTAACGTCACTCCCTCTTAATAGTTTTGCGCCACGTGGAGATCAAAATCACCCATTTACTTTTCTTTGAATTAAGGGATAGATCCGTATAAAATCTTGTCTTTTTTCCTAAAATACATTGAAAAAGAAAATACCAGTTTTGTGGTTGGTCCCCATTCGGTTGTGTTAAAAATTTATTAGTTTTTTAAGGCAGCCATATTTGTCTATTGGACCTATGAAAACAATATAACAATAAAATACTTCCCACTTTCATATATCTTATAAATTCCGTGTCTCTTATATATATAGGATTAGGTTTTGAAATAACTTATTGCCACAACAAGAAGAGATAACAAAAAGAAAAGAAAAGAGAAATTGTAAAAAAAAAAAAACACTCATGGAATATTCCCAATCTTCCATGTATTCTTCTCCGAGTTCTTGGAGCTCATCACAAGAATCACTCTTATGGAACGAGAGTTGTTTCTTGGATCAATCTTCTGATCCTCAATCGTTCTTTTGCCCTAATTATGCTTACTCCGATGACTTTTTCTCATTTGAGTCACCGGAGATGATGATTAAGGAAGAAATCCAAAACGGCGACGTTTCTAACTCCGAGGAGGAAGAAAAGATAGGAATTGATGAAGAAAGATCATACAGAGGAGTGAGGAAAAGGCCATGGGGGAAATTTGCAGCGGAGATAAGAGATTCAACGAGGAACGGAATTAGGGTTTGGCTCGGGACATTCGACAAAGCTGAGGAAGCCGCTCTTGCTTATGATCAAGCGGCTTTCGCCACGAAAGGATCTCTAGCAACACTCAATTTCCCCGTCGAAGTGGTTAGAGAGTCGCTAAAGAAAATGGAGAATGTGAATCTTCATGATGGTGGATCTCCGGTTATGGCCTTGAAGAGAAAACATTCGCTTCGAAACCGGCCTAGAGGGAAAAAAAGATCTTCTTCTTCTAATTCTTCTTCTTCTTCTAATTCTTCTTCTTCGTCGTCCTCTTATTCGTCATCCTCGTCTTCAACATCAAGAAGTAGTAAGCAGAGTGTTGTGAAGCAAGAAAGTGGTACACTTGTGGTTTTTGAAGATTTAGGTGCTGAGTATTTAGAACAACTTCTTATGAGCTCATGTTGATCTTGTAATTAATTTCAGTTAAAGCTACTATTAAACTTTAATTTTGTGATAATCTTGAAATTTGTTTGTTCATAATTCTGCAATTTCTTTGGTTCTCTTATTTTTTGTTTGTTGTATCCAAAATGAAATTATTGGAAGAGAGGCGATATGGTGATGTTGAAGTATATAAAAAAAACCTCTCTCTTTTTGATAAAAAAAAAAACTCTATTATTGCGTTATATGGCTGGAAAGTATGTGTGTCCACCTTAATTGCTTTAATATTTTTTTCTATATGTAAAAGATATTAGATAATAAAAATTTCTCCAAATAACGATTCCTGTAAATCTAAAGACTGTGAATCTTAAAAATCAATCAAGTCGATCCAAAGCTATAAAGGTATTTCTTAATATTCGAATAACAAAATCTAACCAAAAAGAAGTTGATAAGATAAATTATAAACTATAAAGATTTATATGAGTAGGATAATTCGATTATATCTATAAAGATTAAAGGTACGATCCTATTATATTATAGCTATATAATAGTACATATTATGACGTTCATATTATATTGTGTTATTACGTCGTTAATGATGCTTTCGTTATCATCATTATTGTTAATCTAATTATTTATTGGTTGTTTGACTTTCTTGCTAGCTTTTTTTGGTTGAAGCTTTCTTAACCCAATAAAGCTAAAGATTCACAAAGGACGTTAAAATCAAAATAAAATGTCGAGATTTTGTTGGATGAGAAGATTTTTGTTATTAATATGCATAAGATGAAAATATTTTTGACGGTTTGTTCTACTATCATTGTTGCATCATAATTTATATTCGAATTCGGTGTTATACTTATAAAAGGTGTTGATGGTTAATAAGTTCTAGATTTTTTTCTTTCTTAACATCTTACTTTATTAATTTGAATCATGAATTACATACTTACCAGAATACGTATACAACTAATTAATATTTGGATAGAACGAAATAATAATAAAAGTGAAATTAGACGTTTTTCTATTTTGCAGGTAAAACTTACACACAAATAGACTAGTACATTTATTATTTCTTATAATCTTCATCTTCAAGTTAATATTACTTTTTGACTATCATCTTTTCATAACACTCCGATAAAATTTTCGAAAATTATTGGTTACGATCCATCGGTTACATCGCAAACATACAAATATCTCCATCCCCATGCACACCAAGTAGCATATTTCTTGGTTGTAGCTAACAGTACCCCTGATTGATCCCATATTCTGATACCAAATGCAATGTATCGAAGTATGAATATTAAAACATACTTCTTTCATCATCGACATCAATCTGCTGCATTTAATTTTGAAGTTCTTGTTGATGTTCTTCGAGATCTAGAATAGAAAAATCTCTATATCATCTCTTTTCGTAACTTCTCCGACGGATTCTCCTCTATTAGCAGAAGAAAACTAAAAACCTGGATGCCAGATCGCCTCACATATTTTTGGGATAAAAATTCTCAAAACTTTCGAAAACCACCATTCTGTACATAATCAACTGATTCCATCGAGAAAAAATGCCAATAAAAAAAAAAATAGTAGATGATGACTGATTTTGTTTTGAAACGTCTATCCCTATTTTGCTTCAATTTATCCCTCTTCGATTGATGAAAAAAAAGATATAGATCTGAATAAAATATTTAAACAAAATAGAAAGTTGAACAAGTGAAAAATGAACTTTAATTTTACATATATGAATAAATATTTATTTGAATTTATTCATTTGCCAAAAATGTGAATTTGTGAAATGCTTATCTAGAATTAATAAGTTAAAAAATTTGATACACCACAGTTTATTTTAAACGTGAAAATCTATTAAGAAGACAAATTCACAACCTGTTGGAAATAGAGAATAAGCAAAAAGGGGTAACAGACAACGAGGAAAAGACACAAGAGTTGAGACAAAATCATATCCTTAGATCTAATTAAAAAAAAACAGAGTGATTAATTAAAACGACGGAGATTAGATGGCAAATGAGACAAAGCACGAACACGAACCATGAATAAGTGTTATGATCATATTTTGTGACAAACCACGAACCATGATTGGACCTGATTAAAATTTGGCTCATTGTAATAAAATCACTGAAGATGCCATTAAGCTATGTTGCATGGAAACTCTTTTCGAGGTCCGTTTTCCGTTTCCGAAACGTTTCGGAAACGGAAACTCTTCGGAAACACGAAAAACGTCACGGAAACACGTTTCCTAAAAAAGTATGTTTGGAAACACGATGGAAACTCACGTTTCCAAAATGGAAACGCGACAAATTCTTTTTATTGACTTTGAAAACTTAATAAATAAAAGTTGAAAATATTAAGATTTATAATACATATAACTAATTTTGGAAGACTCGGAGTTTTAAGATCTTTCTATCGACAAACTAGATTTGGAGGCATCTTTATATGATCTATGATGAAACTAATGAAAATGAGAATGAAAATGTTGGTCTAAATTAAATATTTGAACTTGAATCTTTTAATCTTTATCTTTTAGAATTTTAGTTAACCTATTTAATATTGATGTTTTGGACTTGTATGGTTTAATTAAACCATAGTTTGATGTTAATGTTATATACATACATTATATATATGTATGTTATATACATACATTATATATATATGTATGTGTATACGTTTCCAAAACGTTTCCAATCTCTAATTTTAGAAAAAAAATCGTTTCCCGTTTCCGAAACGTTTCGCTTCCACGTTTCCGTTTCTGTTTCCATGCAACATAGCCATTAAGTTAGAAAACTTAATTAACAACTCTGTGTTCCAATTTTTAAATTTTTACATTATTTTACGCTCTCGTTTATTTTATTTTTCAATCATTAGCAAACACGCTTAGCCCTAATTCTGCACTTATAATTTAATCCTTGTATTTTAGCACAATTTCAAAATTACTCCGGTTTAAAAGCTCCCTCCTTAGTGAATCCAGTTTGATCCGGTCAGATAGTTGAACCATTCTAGGTTGTATGAGACCAAAAAAAAAACCATCATGGCAAAAGTTGGAAAATACAAAAGCCCGAGATAGATCTTTAAACTAAAAATTATAACTAGGCCCAGGACTAGGCCCAAGGGTGTTTAAATTTTGCTAATAATCAAACCTTTCCGTTTAATTTTGCAATTTTACTCGGATAGAGAATTTCAATGTTAGACCAAGAACAAGAAGGCAAGAATACACTTGACAAAACAAAAACTAAGAGAGAAAAAACAAAAACAAACTCAAAGAGATTAAAATGATCGGAAAACCAAACTTGATAAAGCTAGAAATGTATATAGAGTTAGACAAAATCCAGACGAAGAGTCTCATCAGCTCTAGCTCTAACTCTAGCTAAACATAACTTGAAAATTACCAAAGTAATTAATAACTTAATCAGTCATTAGGGGGTAAAACAATAAAAGTTACTCCCTCTGTCCCAAATTATAAGAGGTTTTGGCTAAAAGTACAAGGATTAAGAAACAATAAATGTTTTCTCATTTATAAAAATTCAACCAATTAAAAAAAAGACTGCATAATTTAAACACTCAAAAATTATTAAATAAATATAAATAGTGCATTGAAACTTGAAAAAATCTATTAAAATGGAACAAAGAAAAAACCCTTAAAGCTCTTATAATTTGGGACAGAGGGAGTATTAAAAAGCAATTAACCACTCCATAAGTGTGTCTGGAAACTAGTAGCCGTTGGTAGGAACAGCTTCCATGTACTGTTTCTCCACAACTTCCATCAATGTATCTGCAATTCCACTTGCATACACACAAGATCCTTCACAAATCTGCCTCAAACCAGACAGAACAAGATTAGTTTAAGTGGTTTGGAAAGTTAAAACAGATTTTAATGACTTAGATTTGTTTTACCTTAGTGTTGAACAAGAAGCTGTAGTGCTCACCAATCTGTCCACCTGCAACATGGTGGAGATCTAGCTGAAGCTGATCAAGAACTTTGGTGGTGAACAACAAACAGTTAATCTTCTTCTTCTGGACAAGCTTGATGGTTACTTCATCATCGATTATGCGTACATCGACCTCAGTGACTTTTGATTTCCTCTTAAGCCAAGAACATCTCAGTGAGTTGTTGTTGTTCTTGTTGAAGCAAGATTGGTCTACTTCGCTCTGTGGCTTGTAATTCACAGTGTCTTCTTCTTCTTCTTGATCTTCTCCTCCTACTTCACCAACTCTAGCTCTTTTCTTGCTCCTGAATCTTCCACATCTCTTCTTCTCCACAAGCATCTTAAACTCCTCTATTGTCCTTAACAGCTCTTTGATGTAATCTATCGCCTCTCCAACGATAGATGCTCTATCGTTCTACAGAGATTAAACCAACAATGTCTCTCATAGTCTCTTCATACACATTAACAACATGAACTGAAATAAAAGCAAAGTAAAAGTATACCTTTGTGGGATTTGGAATGAGGTTCTTTAAGTCGAAGAAACGGTCATTGAAGTGAACTCGTCTTTCGCGTTCTGTAGGGAAAGTTCTCGACTTTCTTGATCCTCTTCCTTTACGAGTAACTCCATTGTTAAACTCGAGAATCTCATTCTCAAATCCACCATTATTGTTGTTGTTGTTTGCTCCTTCAAAATACATAACATTCACTCCTCCATTAGCATCCATCTGAATCTGATCCTCAACTCCAAGTAAACAAGACCCGTTTCTTAGCTGGTTCTGGTCTCGAGGCTGCATAGGGAAATTCAGATGGAAGAGAGGATCGTACATAACAGCAGCAGCAGAAGAAGAAGACATAATGTCTGAGAACGAGATTGATGAGTTAGGAAGCATAGAAGAAGGATGATGATTAGGAGGCAATGAGCATCTAGGCAAGTGTAAGAGACTAAGCAAATCAGGAGTTGTTGCAGAGTTTGGACCCAAATTCACAAAATCTTGATACCCATTTTCCCAACTAGAGTGTTGTTGATGTGAAGCCATTTGGTGAATCAAATTGTTGTGGAATTGATCACAAGGAGGAGGAGGAGGATTGATGTGAAATTGAAGAGGTGTTGAAGAAGCTTGAGGACAATCTTGTGGGCTGAGATGAAATTCAGAGAGCTCTTCTACCTCAACACTGCAGTTGCTGTTGCTTGTACTACCGGCGACAAGAACTTGCGGCGGTGGTGGTGGTTGTTCGGCTTGAGAGAAGCTGCTCTCCACCGTAACTTCTGCCGGAGTGTTGGGATCGAAACAACCCATTTCCTCGTAAAGGCTTTCTCTTTCTTCTGCGTTTGTATCAAAAACACTAATTTAGAACTTCCAGAAGAAAAAAGGTAGCAATTTTCATGAGAAATTAGACCAAATAATGAAGATTTTGTCACCTTCCATGAAGATGGTTCAACGAGTCTAGATGATTCTTTAACACCTGCAAATCAAAAGTAACTAACATTCAACCATCTTTAAGAAGACGAAAACACAGAAATTTGAACCTACTTTCAGAAAAATTAGCTCTTTTATAATCTTAGAAACGAAACCCAGTTTTAGATTCTCTAAAAGATGAAAGATTTTTCAACCATGAAAATGTTCTTAGGATCCAAAAGATTAACTTTGGGTTTAGGGTTTGAGTTTGAAATTAAACATAAAGAGATAGAAGATAAAATGGGTAATCGAAGCTGGAAAATTTGAACCTTTGCTACAATTAGTTCTTCTCTATGTTTGTCTTCTCAATTTTCAGGAGAAGAAGCAAATTTCTTAAACAAGAGTATGTCTAAGTCTCTGTGTTTGAAATATACGGACACATTTGTAGATGGAGACAGGCAATAGAAAAAGGGTAAAAAGATGACAAAGTTAAATTATTGGATAAAAATATATATTCTTATCTTCTTCTTTTTTAAGTTCTTCTTGAACGAATTATTATTATTATTTTTTTGTCAAAACGAAAATGTTGTATATAAGCTATGTTTCTAAACCCAAATTTTATGCAGGGTTTGTAAAACTAGTTTTCTTTTACAGTTCTTAACCGTCTTTTTAAACCATTTTTTCTACAAAGGCTAATTTTTTTTTTTTAATCATTTCAAATGTTAGAAACTTAATTACCAATTGGATCCTAAACATATCTATATGGCTGTAACCAATTGTAAGAAATACAATATTGCATATATTTCTTTCACCGTTATCAAAATTCACATTTTTTTATATAAAATGTGAAAATTTGTTTTTTTTTTTTTTTTTGGGAGTTTTGGTTGGAGCATGTGATTTATCATTGTGGCTAAACATCAAGGTTGGTTAGAAGAATCAACAGATGGGTCCCTTTCCGAATCTCTCAGGTCTTTTCAACGACTTTAGGGGTATTTCCGTCATTACAAGCAAATACGATTTTCTCTCTGACCAATTAATATGGGCTCCAGATATTTTACCCAAACTCACACCAACAAACCAAAGTAGCCCCGTTTCCTCTTTCCCTTTGTTGCCCTTTTCCTTTCATTTTAGTAAAACTCATAAAAATTATTTTAACGCGAAACCATTTTTTTGTTGTCTTAAATGTATGTTTTACTTCTATATTTAATCTTATGTTAATCAATCATATTTTATACTATAATGTGTTATGTTCCTAATTGAAAAACTTTTCGACTTATTACAAAAACCAAAAAAAGGTTTAGTAATGCAAGGTTTAAGTGGATATGTTTTGGATTTAAAAAAGTGTTAAGTTTTACTAATATATGGATAATTAATCTACCTCATCATCAACAATCATGGAATCATATATCACATCATCTAGTTTGATCCATCAATGTCCATGGCATCATTCATTATTTTATGTTTGTATAACTGTATATAATAAAAATCGAATTATAAATACTTAAAACCCTTGTTTTTTCCAATTTTCTAACCACTAAACCACCATAAAATAGGTTATATCACAAACACTTCCCATAAAATAGGTTTCTTCCCACTAAATTAATCCAATTTAAATATTTCTTTCTTTGTGTATAATCAATAACATAAAATGATAAAATAAAGAATCCATCCATAGAAAAACGTTTAGATACTTGAAGAAATATAATAGAGAAACAAAATAACATGGAGTGTATTGAAGATAAATAATTCATTTATTCAATCAATCATATATGTTTATATATCAATCTATTCTATTAAAGGACTCTAAAAAATAATAATCTTGGATCAAATTAAATTTAAATTGACAAAATAGTAGTATAATAAGTTTCCTTGTTGAGCGGTTGGGTCATGCGATTTCTGTTTATGGCAAAAAGAGCGGGTTGTTTGAGAAGTAGTGAAGGTAGGTCCCACATCCAAGAATGGAATAATAATACATTTATTTGATTTTGTAAAAACGAATTAGGGGTACTCCTGTAATTTAACCGAAACTGGAAAAAATTCTGGTCACCTACTACTTCTCTCGTAGACTCTCGTACACTGCTACTGTCCCCAACCTAACAAACAGTACAAACTTTGAGTCCCCTTCGTCTACTAGAAATGTTGTGCAGGACCAAACAAACGATATGGTTTTCGATCTACTAAAAATGTAATGCCGGTTCGGTCCATATATAGCCAACACCTTTGACTTTGAGAAAGGGATTGGATTCATTCAAGTAATGAATCGTATCATTTTTTTTTTTTGACGGTTAACCACTTGAAATCTTTATAGAAATACAGGGATTGAACCGCACTTCTCTAAAATTGATCGGTTCTGCAAACCCGACTTAACCGGTCTAGTGGCACGTCATCACAATATCTCTCTAACAAGAATGAGACCAATCTATTCAAAGTTGTCGTAGGTATAATTTGATCACTTATATATTATGCATGGTGCTTCAGCATTGATGCTTCGGGGTAAATTAGTTTCATCATCATCATCATCATTATCATCAATGCTTCTTTTGTTCGACTCATTCCCTTTTTTCGCAGTAATCAGAATGCATGAATTATTAATCTTTCATGACATGCTTTAAAGGAACTTTTAACCAGATCAGACTTTATTTAACCTTGGCTACCAAATAAGTGTTTATTTAAGTATTGCAGAAAAAAACATGGATAAAATTTAAAAGGAAACGTCGAAAAATAGATGAAATTAGCCTAACAATAATTAATAGTTATTGATTTGAAACTTGGAAGAACATGTAGTACTGTTTAATTATCTACAACCTCAATCACTCTATTTGCGATTGCACTTGCATTTCTTGTCGACCCTTCTCCTTCGTGTATCTGCATTTTGGGCAATAATTATTACCAAAACTCAATCCAATATATTCAAATCCATAATCAAGACTCGATCACTGACCTTGGTCTTGAGCAAGAAACTGTAATGCTCACCAAAATGTCCACCAGCGACATGGTGAATATCAAGATGAAACTGATCAAGCACTTTGGAGACAAAAAACAAACAGTTGATCTTCTTTTTCTGCACGACTTTGATCGTTACTTCATCATCAAGAACCCTAACATAAACTTGTATTACTTTTGATTTCCTCTCTAGCCATGAACATTGATCTATCACATCGCTCTCTGGCTTCTTCTCCATGTTTTCTTCATCATGATTAAGTCTCATCTTTGAAAACGGATGCTCTATCTCGCTAGTCACATAAATTGTGTTTCTACCGTCAATATTCTTGTGTCTTCCACCACATCTCTTCTTCTCAACCAAAGACTTAAGCTCGCTAACTAGTTTGCGTAACTCGTTGATATAAACGATCCCATCTTGAACAATGGATACTCTATCGTTCTACAGAGATTTCAACCAACAATGTCTCTCATAGTCTCTTCATACACATCAACAACATGAATTGAAATAAAAAAGCAAAGTAAAGTATACCTTTGTGGGATTTGGAATGAGGTTCTTTAAGTCTAAGAAACAGTCATTGAAGTGAACTCGTCTTTCGCGTTCTGTAGGGAAAGTTCTCGAGTTTCGAGTAACTCCATTGTTAAACTCGAGAATCTCATTGTCAAATCCACCACTGTTGTGGCTGTTTGCTCCTTCAAAATACATAACATTCACTCCTCCATTAGCATCCATCTGAGACCCGTTTTTGACCTGTAAGTAGTTTCATTAATATATCTATGTGACTTGTTAAATTTTATATTGAGAAAAATATTTTAAGTTTTCGTATTGCAGTTAAATCATGTTATATGTGTTTATAGCAAAGAGAGTGGGGTTGTTTGAGAGAAGATGAAGAAGTAGGTCCCACATCCAAAATTGTGAAAATATATTTTCATATCTATATTGATTTTTATAAAGTGATTAAGGAAATAGTGGAGTAAACTGAAAAATTTTGGTCACCTACCTCTCCTAGCCGTACAAACTTTAGAATCATGAGAAGTTTTGTATCAATTTTAAAGCTAGAGATTTTTATTTGGAGATTGATGAGATCGACTCAAGATCGAGATTTTGAAATTCCAAGTCGATCTTGATTCGGTTTCTCAATACCCCTTATATCCCTATATTTAACATAGAAATCAGAAATGTTAAAAACTTAGTGTTGTGCCGGACACAACGATATTGGTTAAGGCTTGTTAAGAACAGATTGGATTTGTGAGATATGAAATTTTCTGATGCCCGTTCGGTCCATATAGGACCATTTTTTTCAGGTAGTGCATTAATTAAATTAATTAAGAGAATCGAAATATCAATGTTCTTACGGTCAAATGCTGATATGGTTTGTAGAGTACAACAAGACCGAACCGTACTTAATGACTCTTGAGGAGTCAAATCTAGTTTGAGCCAGAATAGGTTCTGCCAAAACGGGACCAAACCGTTGCAAAATCCATAACAAGAATATAATAATATTTGGGATTGTCTAGGCTTTTTATGGTTAGACCTATAAAAGTATGGACTATGGATCATGACTATTTTACATGTCTTGTTAGAAATATCCAAAATGTGAAACCTAAATTTGGCTCCAAACTGAGTTTTTATTTAGTCTTGCAAATGAAAAACATGGATTTAGAAAGAAAGAAAAAAAGTCAGAAAATAGCCTAGTAATTAATAGTTATTTATGGGAAGAGCAGCCATGTAGTGTTTGTCCACAACTTCAATCACTCTGTTTGCTATTGCACTTGCATATATTGTTGATCCTTCATAAATCTGCATTTTATTCAATCATTATCACCAAAACTCAATCCCAAATATATATACAAAAAATCCATAATCAAGATTTGGTATATATATTCATCGATCACTAACCTTGGTGTTGAACAAGAAACTGTAATGCTCACCAATCTGTCCTCCTGCAACATGGTAAAGATCAAGCTGAAGTTGATCAAAAACTTTGGAGACAAGTAACAAACAATTAATCTTCTTCTTTTGCACAACTTTGATTGTTACTTCATCATCAACAATCCTAACATCAACTTCTGTTACTTTTGATTTCCTCTGTAGCCATGAACATCTCAGCGAGTTGTTGCTTGAACATTGGTCTATTACATCGCTCTCCGGCTTCTTCTCCATGTTTTCATCATCAATATTATCTTCATCATTATCATGATCATTCGAGTTGTTGTTGTTAATGTTGTTGTCTAATTCATTGTTCTTGTGTCTCCCACCACATCTTTTCCTCTCAACCAAATACTTAAGCTCACTTACTCTTCTGCGTAACTCGTTGATGTAATCGATTCCATCTTGAAGAATGGATGCTCTATCGCCCTAAATCACATATCATATGACTTAAGCAAAGAGACGTTGGAGATGATATATGAAAACTAAACTAAGAAAAGATTGTTGTCGTAAGTAATAAACAAACCTTACTCGGGTTAGGGATGAGTAATTTCAAGGCCTCGTACCGCTCATTCAAGTGACATCTTCGCTCACGTTCTGTTGTAAAAGGTTTGTTCTTTCGCTTTCCTCTTCCTTTACGCCTAATTTCTTTGCTAAACTCGATGATTCCGCTATCGAATTGAGCATTGTTATTCTCATCTCCAACATTGGACTCATCTCTTTGAGTAGTAGTATTGGTATCAATGCCAAGCAAGTACCCTGAGTAGTCATTAGAAGGGATCAATGGAGGTTGTGGAGGAAGGTTTAAGTGGAAGAGCGGGTCATACGTGAAGCAAGAACCCGCCATTATATCCGAAATATTCGAGCTTGGTAATGACATTGAGCATCTAGGCAAATGCAAGAGGCTGAGAAGATCAGGAATTGGAGTTGTTGTTGTATTTGGATTTGAAGTGTTCATGAAGAAACCAGAGTTGTCTTCAGAAACACCCCAATTCGATTCTTGAATCATTTGGTTGATCAAATGGTTGTTGTTGTTGCTGATGTTTTGGTTCTGAGTTTCTGAGTTTGGAAGAGAGATAACAGAAGGAAAAACAGAGAACTCCTCCATTGTTGGGAGCTTAAGATCGTCGTTAAAGCTGTTTGTTGTGCTTCCAAGCGGTGGTTGAAACTGGTGGCTTACCGGAAAAGTTGTTTCCGTCGCACAGAAGCCGACGTTGTTGTCTACCATCGGATTAGGATCAAAACATGAACTTTCCTCATACATTTTCAACTGATTTTTTTCTGCAAACAAAACTAATTTTCCATTACCATAATTAATCTTTAAGACAAAAGCCAATCCAAGTTAAGTTAATTACATTAAAGAAAGAAAGTTTGCATAAACTCAAAACCTAATATCAAACTAATTCCATTAAGCCCCTTTCTTTTAGATTGGAAAAGAAAAATCCTCTGTTTTTTGTGTTTGATATCTTCTCAACTCTCACATTTTTAGTATTGATTCAAAAATCAGACTTAAGTTTAGAGAATGAAAAGTTACGAGAAGGAAATGCTCTCATTACCAAAAGTTAGACGATGATGATCTTTCTCCTTCTTTGTTGTCCCTGAAAGCCTAAGTTACCACTTACCACCAACTATATTTCAGCTTCACAATTTCAAATCAAAGATCATTTCAGCATTTAGAACTCAAATCAAATTTAGGAGAAAAAGAGAGAAGCTTTTTGGTATGCTTTATTTCTGTTTGATGGAGTTTGGGATGTGTTTGTGTCTTTTGAGTCTTTCTTGTTCCCATAAGAGAGGGTTTTTTGACGTGTTTGTATTGTTTTGGACAGCTCTCTACTAAATACTTCAAGACAGAGGAAACAATTTGTTCCAACCTTTAATTTCTGACACAAACAAAGGCACAAAGCTTTATTTCTTTACTAAGACATGTCTTAATATTTGGAGATTTTTTACAATGTTAAGTATTTTTCTTTTAAACGTAATTCAAGCCGTGTATTTCAAAATTTCACTTTCAATTAAAACTAATGAAATATGTTGGAACTGATAGATTTATTTTTCTCGCAATTCCACTTTTTATTCTAAGATGTTCCCTAGTGTCAAACAAATAGACAAATAGTGGATAAATGATGATAATTGACCGAGGGAAATGGACCTAAAGGTACATAAAAATAACAATAATATGAGAAATGATAAATTAACAAATTTTTCCCCAAAAAATAATAAATAAATAAACAAATATAATAATAATGAATAAATATTGTATATTAATTGAGATTTTCAGTTGGGTCATGCAATCTCGCTTTAGGCCACAACGGCAATGGACCCCACTTGAAATCTCCTAATTCCTTACAATTTTTTCTCAATGATCAAGGGTATTTATGTCATTTTAACTACAATTAGGTAGTAACATTTTTCTTTTGGCATCACACTTTGGTAACATCTCCTAATTCGAATGGTAGGTATACAACCTCAGAAGATGGTTTTGCTCTCAATGGAATCGGAAGTGGATATGCGGAAACAAAACCTTAGGAAACAAGAAAGAGGTTTTTTAAACTGGTTAGAAGTTAGAACTATTATACATACAACTTAGATTTTACTTTTGACTGCCACAAATGGGGGAAACTTAACACATTGCCATTTTCTATATTGTTCACAAGGATGAGACTCGAATTCAAGATGGCTACAACAAGAGCTTATTATACAGAAATGAATATCTAAGAAATTGCTAGACTAGTTATTGGTAACTAGTTTAAGAACTCTCTCATCAACATTCTTAGTATCTACTAAAGAGAAGTTGGTACCTCTTAACATTACCAATATATCAACCTTATGATCTTAAACCAGTTTCAGTTTACCTCTTAACCTAAGGTTTACGATGTGCAATCTGAAACATCTACTGAGGTTATAAAGAACATGAAACTGTGTTTACACAAATCCATCCACGAGAATACGAATTATTCATTACATTACCATAAGTTTTGAATAGAGAGACAATGTTGTTTGCTCTCAGTTAGCTCGTTCGCGTAACACTTCAAGATCAACCTCAGTAGGATCAGTAGCTTGAATCTCATAGTGAATCCCTTGAAGCTCCTTCCTAAACTGGTCTTTAGAAGTCGAGTAAAGCACCTTTGCCCGAATTCGAGAAGTCGAAGGAGACCTACAATATAAGTCCCGTTCACAATGTTATCAAAAAACTTAATCTTTCTTATAGGTAAGGATCAAATTAGAGAGTAGGTAATCAAACAAACCAAGCAAAGAAGAAGATTTTGCTCTTTTGACAATTCTCAGAAGTAACGAAATCGAAGTCATAAACAGCGTATCTGCAGTCATTTTCAGGAAGTGAAGCTAAGAAATCATCGTAACTCTCAGCAGGGTTTCCTGTTTTCTCAACAACAACTTCTTTTTTGGATTCATCGATCTTGAAGACCACATAACGATGAGTTTTTTTCCTTTGAAGCTCAAGATATGTGGTTTTGCTCTGATCTGCAACACCCATTCCAGATGTTGCATTTGGCTACACATATATAAAACAATAAACCAAAAACATATCAAAACCATACCAAAAAGATTCGATTTTTAATCAAATTCAGTGTTGATTTGGTTCTTCAATCATCGAATTGACTTCATAGTGATCTTAAACCCCCCAAAAAGAGGGAAAATGGAGATGGATTAGGTTTTTTTTAACATGGACTTCATCAAAATCAAATTTTTAACATTTCTTAGAAACGAAATTGAAGATGCATGCGACAAGAGTATTTCTGATTTTAAGCACAAGAGAAGAGAAAAGGGGTTTTGTAGTTACCCTGCTAAGTCCTCTGAAAGACATGGATTTGATTCTGCTTTTCTTCGGACACCAGAATTGGGTTAGAGAAACGAAGACGACACGAACTTATCAAAAAAAAAAAAAAAAAATTCGGATGCGTCGCTTTGTTCGTCGTGCACACTTTTGCTTACTAATTAGTTTTTGAATTTTATTTTTTTTGGCTTAATGCAGAAGAAAATAAGTTGGTCGGTGGCGTTAGAACAACGCGAGAAGAAAAGTCGTGTTTCTATTAAAGTGGACCCCATTTGTTGACCCATAACTAGTCGCCGCGTATATATCAATATTGGGCCTTTTTTAGCCCATTATTGTATATCAACAAAAATCCTTTGGGTCGCAGAAATAGGAAAGGAACGAAGATACGACGTCGTTGTTGACATCATCTCTTTGACGGCTCTAGGCGATTACTGTTGCGACGGTTCACTCGAACTCCGGCGACTCCAACGTTTGAAACCTGACTGAGCCGTCGTGTCTCAGATATGCAGTTTCTGGTAGGTTTTCACAATTCCTTTTCTAATTTTAGTCTCATTTCAAATTCTCCAAATTAAAGTGAATGATTTGGTAACTTGGCGAACAAAGCAGGAGAAGGTAAAGTTGATAAAGCCAGTAATGGTGAAGAACCCTGAAGACTTTCCGGTTTACTGGTTCGAAACCTCCGATTCTATCTCTCACCGTTATCAGTTCCAATCCGACGGCCACCTCTCTGTAAATCTCTCTCTCTCTCTCTCTTGTGCCATTTTGATGTTGCTCTCAGTTGGAAGAATCATTATGTAAATTATCATGTTTTTAGATGAAAGTTGTTGATGATGCAAGACCTGTTCCTCAGAAGATGGTTGAATCCTTCCTTAACAAGTTCTTCCCTTCTGGTTATCCATACAGGTGAACTCAAAGTTTGAAACTTTTGCTATAGAGAATCTCTAGGCTTGTGTTTAAAGTTTCTTTCTTTACTTCTTCTCCACAGTGTAAACGAAGGATATCTTAGGTACACTCAATTTCGAGCACTTCAGCATTTCTCCAGTGCAGCATTATCCGTGTTATCGACGCAGGTCTTCTTCATGATTCAGCTCTTGCAATGTAGTTCTAAATCTTGTTCAGTTTTGGTTTTGTTTCTTCAGCTTTGATTTTTGGCTTGGCAAAATTGCATTTGTTTACTTGAGCTGTTGTAATGGAGATTTAACATGGAGATATAACTTCTTGTATTATTTCTTTGCAGTCACTGCTATTTGCTGCAGGCTTGCGGCCTACACCGGCTCAAGCAACTGTTGTTAGCTGGGTATGTTAACCACTTTAGTTTGTTTGTTCGTTTGCTTGTTCAGGGCCTTCACGTAAGTGAAAATTTTGTTTATTCTATGGGTTTTATAGATATTGAAGGATGGGATGCAGCATGTGGGAAAGCTGATTTGTAGCAATTTGGGTGCAAGAATGGACTCTGAGCCTAAACGGTGGAGGATTCTGGGTATGCACCATTCTTTAGCTACATGTTTCTGCTGATGTCTTCAAAACATCAACCATAACACGAAGTAGTTCATTTTTTTCAGCTGACGTGCTCTATGATCTTGGTACTGGTCTGGAACTCGTTTCTCCATTATGCCCGCATCTGTTTCTTGAAATGGCTGGTCTTGGGAATTTCGCTAAGGTATATATATTATTCTCAGAACATCAGTGTCTCCTTCCTCAGCAGCTTCAATTGGAGACCTATGAGATACATTAGCTTTCTACATACCATCTTTTTATACATCAACCAGCTTCACTGGTTTCCTGTGTTTCACATTTTTTTGGCGTTGTTTGATTCAAATAGGGAATGGCTACAGTTGCAGCAAGGGCAACAAGATTACCAATCTATTCATCTTTTGCCAAAGAAGGAAATCTTAGTGATATTTTTGCCAAAGGAGAAGCTATATCTACTCTTTTTAATGTTGCCGGGATAGGTGCTGGGATTCAACTTGCGTCCACTATATGTTCATCAATGGAGGGAAAGGTAACTTCCTTCTGCTTGGCCATTACTCTTTGTTTCAGAATGCAGTTTTTTTTTTTTTTTTTGGGATTCCAACTCGGTTATCTTAGAAAAAGGTGGATATCTGCAGTTGGTGGTTGGGTCGATTCTTTCGGTTGTACATGTGTATAGCGTTGTAGAACAAATGCGAGGAGTACCGATCAACACACTGAATCCACAGAGAACCGCTTTGATCGTGGGTAATTTTCTCAAGGTAAATAGCATCGTCTTTAGTTCAGTCGTCTTAAAACCATCTTGTTGATTTCTTTTATTACATCAGAGGTATCGTTGGATCTGTTTCAGACTGGTAAAGTCCCAAGCCCTGCGGATTTAAGATTCCAAGAAGACCTAATGTTCCCTGAGAGACCAATCCAAGACGCAGGAAACGTAAAAGTGGGAAGGGCTCTCCATAAAGCTGTGAAGCCTTCTGAGGTGCAGAGACTAAAACAAGTGTTTGTAGAAGAGAAGTTTCTATTGAGTCATGGAAAGTCATGGACCGATATGGTCTTAGAGCACGATGCAACTGGTGAAGACGCATTACGAGGGTGGTTAGTTGCAGCATATGCCAAGTCAATGACAAAGATATACAATGACCCTGATGACATAATATTGCAAGACGCGTATGACAAAATGAACGATGTCTTCAATCCATTTTTATCTCAAGTGCAGGCTAAAGGATGGTATACTGATAGATTTCTCGATGGCACGGGAACAAGATTCGCTTGGTAGCTCCCGAGTTTCTGAGTAATTATTTTGCTATTGTAATTTTTATTGTTTCAAGTGTAAACACGAATTTGTAGGCTTAAGAAGTCTTTGTCCAGATCATGAATGCACATTCCAGTTTTTGAAGACTTTAGATGGATAGATTAGAGTGAGATTGTTAGGTGAAACAAAAAGTTTGAATGTACGGTTCTTGTCCTCGTTTGTACTTTTGTTTGCAATTGTAAGTCTACATATTTTATCATATATATCAATCAAAGTGGAATCTGATTAATGCTTTTTATGAAAATATATTTGTTTTAAAGTTTAAAAAAGTTTATCTTGTTTTCCATGGTCAAATCTTGTGTACCGGCTCTATTTTTCTTTAGACCTGGACTCTTTTAGTCTTCATTTTGGGATTCTTTTATAAGTGAAAATGTCCCAAAGTATATCACTTTTATTGCCTGTTATTACATATAATATTTGGTAAAAGCAATTATCAAGACTTTTTGTTGGGATATTCAACTAGTTGTACCAATACTGGACACATAACTAGTAAGATTCTTATAGAGCATGAGAGAGAGGTAAAGGATTTCGTTTGTTGGCTCAGTTTTGTGTTTCAGGTTGGTTTTAGGACCAAATTAAAAAAATTGGACCTCTCTAGTCTTTGTGGTGTGTGCTATTTTCGTTGTTGTATGATTTATTCGGGGTCAAACCGTCATAATGCATAATGCATGATGTTAACAACAATAAAAGAACTAGAGAGAATAAAAAGTCATTAATATACTAAAATTAACTTTTCATGATTATTTAGCAATTTGTTTAGTGAAATTGTTTACCATGTTATTATTATGATCATTTCAATATTTATTTGAGATATTTTATTATAGATATAGCTAGTTGGATCTGATTGAAGAAGAGAAGTAACACCTTTTTAAAATATTAACTAGTGAAATTTTAAGGCTTTAATCTTTCTTTTTGACATGCATGTATATATAACCAATAATGCAACTCAGCCGACCCCTGGAAAATTACAAAAAGAAGCGACAAAGTTAGTATTTAATTGGACCCACAAATATCTAGATTTCGTTAGGTCACGATCCATTTGAAATTATCAATTATCAAACAACACTTGCATTGAAAACATGGGAACTCCACAATTGCGAGAAGATAACCCGCATTGTATATTTTGTATTAGAAAATAAAACCCGAAAAAGAAAACGGAAAGAGAGAGAAAAAAATGTGAAAAAGGGCAAGATCTTAGTAATGATGGAATTAGATATCGATGATCTTTGTTTTGTTTGAGTCTATTCTTTTTTTTTAACGTTGTAATCTTGGTCTAAATACGTTTAATTTGAAACAGCA